TGTAACTTGAAATTGGACGTAACTGAAGGTTCTAAGCTGTTGCTTTGATTTTGTAAAAGGAAAAAGAATAGAATAATGGGATAAAAAAGCTGGAATTCATATATCAGTACATAGGCTTAAATCTTGAAAAATGCTTTAATTTACAAGTATGATTTTTAAAATTTGCTTCAGAGTAGAATGACTGCTGTAACTATAATATTATGTCACATTATGGCCATCAGTGTCTCCAGATCTTGTAATCATCACAAGTAGGAAAGTGAAACCATTAATCAAAAGAATAATTTGAGATATTTGTAAGCATGGTAGTTTGTGAAGTATGTACCTGAAGAAAGTTGTCACTTGTTTTGTGAAATGAGATCTGTCTGAAGGTGTTTTCTATTTAAATTACATTTGCCTGTCATAAATATGTTCTTAGAACTGAAATAGTTAGTGTTTCATAATTGCTATTAGTGGGGGGGGTTGGGACTGGAAGTATTGTTACAAATAAATAATTTGAGTGGCACTTTATTTTTTCTGTGTAATGTAACATGAAAATCTGACGAAACCATACGCTGCCGGGGGGGAGAAAATATAGGTTCAAGTCTATTATTGAGTAAATGGCTCTCTCACAAACTTTGCAAAAGTTTTGGTGACTTATTTTTGTCGCCAGTTTGGTGAGAAATCGACAAAAATCACTGAACTTCGCGATATTTCATACCAGTCTCTTTATCACCGTAATAGGTATTGGAAAAGTAATTGATTTCATATGTAGCTGTTGTCGTATACGACCCCCCCATATAACACAATAAGAACATCTGCACTCAGTTGTTCAGAGCAACTCCGTACTGTCGAGGTATCAATGAAAGCGTTGCCTTTGAAATTCACTTTCCATTGTGTTGGTAAACATTCATTGTAGTTTGAAATGTGATTCCTGATTGTATACTGTGAAGAGCTGTACAAGTATTTTTGTGGAAATTTCCAGAACTGTGAAGTGTTTCTTTTAGGAAAATTAATTTTATTAAGCTGTGGTCAATTCTGTGTGCATTCAAAGCATTAGAAACTTGTATGCATGCAGCAATATTTTGTTTAAGATGGCAAGTCGAAGAATGTTTGTTTATTATTTCTTGATCAGATTTTTGACGACAAGTATATCATTTGGTATTTGTTTTATATAGATTAATTTTGATTATGCTATGTGCATGATTACTAATTTTTACAATGCACTATAATTGTTGTCAGGCTAATTTAATAAGCCAGTATCTCCATTTTTCGTCTAAACATTACATTTGTACAATTTCATTCTTTTTCTCTTCATTTTTATCCATAAAGGAATATTTTAGATTTCATTAACTTTCATTTGTGTTGTGCTAAAATACAAATCCTAAATAAGAATTTGTTGTATTTTAGCACAATGTCATAAATCCCTCAAATATCTATATATTGTGATATAAATTTGTTTTTTTTATGAGAATATAAGCTAAAATTATTCTCAGTATGTAGCAGATTAATTTGTCAATTGCCAAAATCACAAGTCCTCAAAAAACAAAACGTGTGAAACCAGTAAATAATGCTGAACTCTAATAACAATATAATATATAACATTCACTATGGCTAGTTAATGTAGTGCACTTTTTTAAAGTGAAAACAAATTTAAGCTGTGTATGTAGAACAGTAGTAATGTAACATATAATCCATATTTAGCAGCTCCTCTTTTATTTCTTATAATATGTTGCCAATACATGTAGGTGGCAGTGTGCAGGACCCCTTGTTCAGAATGATTGAATTTTGGCAACTATTTTCTTGAAAAAAAATCCAGAGAATAAATATTATGTGACTGGTTTTCCATTTTTTGCAATGGCTGTTTTAACAAAGCATATCAAATTAAGTCCTCTGTTTTCTGTGAATTTTTTACAGTAGTTATTGATGCAGAATTAATATAAAAATTGAAGTAATTGAACATTCAAAAACTGTCCTTCATGTTTTGCCTGAATATTTGGAAACTAAGAAACCATGATATGCTTTGATTAAAAAATTTGGAACTATTAGTTTTAACTATTAAAAGCATTCATAAAAAATATTTTGATTATTCTAGTTAACTTTGAATGCAAGAAGCCTACTTCGTGGTCTGAGTATTGTTTGTTTATTCTTGAAATGAATCTCTTCACTGTATTTGCCTTTTCCCAAAAACAGAAATACAGGGTGTTCATAAAGTCTATACATCTTTGAAAAATATATTCCACTTCGAGTTTCTTTGGAGGCGATCTGAAAAAAATGCTGGCAGCAGGGGAGAGAATAGCCATTGTTTGTGCCCTTACGTGCAGATTAATGTATCAACAAATGCAGGAGGACTTCGCCTGCAAATTGAGAAAACAAGCCCTTAGCAGAGCAGCTATTGAAACTTCGGTAAACAAATTCAAGCAAACTGGTAGAGTGGACCTTCTGAGAGACTTTCAATAACACAAGTTGAACAAAAAAGCGATTATGCATAACCCCAGGCATCTACATGAAGACTCGGCATTTTGCATTACTACCGTTTAGAAAACTACACTAGCGGTTCAACCTTTTGACTAATAAGTACCACCTAAACAAAAATTGAAAACCTTTAGTGCCGCCACCACTCTTGAACAAAGCACAGATAGGAGTGTTAGAGAAAAAAAACTCAATCAGGATTTTGGGTTTTTAAATTTAATAGTTGAAAATACTTTGCATACCACCAGTGATTGAGAACCCCTGCTCTATGCTGTCATTTAAACAAGGGTGCTCATCACATTCAAACTGTGCATAAGCATGAAGCTGGGGACTGTGGAGCTTGGCAAGTCACTTGTTATGATTTGTTGGAAGATATGGATAATGAGAATGTTCTCTTTAGCGATGAAGCCACATTCCATCTCTGTGGCCATGTTAATAGGCATAATTGCCGAATGAAGGCTGATGAACAACCAAACGTGTTATACAAATCTCAAAGAGACTCGCCTGAAATTAATGTATGGATTGGAATAAATAAGCTCTGTGAACCATGAAAGAATCATTACTGAAGAAATTTATCTTGATATGTTGCAACAGTATCTTGAGCCACAGCTAGTATCAGATAACATTATTGACACTATTGTCTTCCAGTGGAATAGGGCACTTCCCCATTTTGCCATTATTGTGTGTAATTATTTAAACGAAACTTTTCTTTATAGGTGGATTGGTTGGAGCTTTCAATGGCTTTGGACTGCACAATCAACCAGCCTTAACTCCCCTACATTTTTTCGTATGGGGTTTTGTCAAGTCCAAAGTGTGCCAATTGAAGACTGGCAGCATTGAACAATTAAAACAGTGAATTATGTCTGCAGCAGCTGAAATTACACCAGTAACTTTACATAAGGTGTTCTGGAGTGTAGTGGAATGGTGGCAATTGTGCCAGGGGGGCACACCTAATTGTACTAATTTAGTGTTATATTATTTTGCATTTTCATGTAAATAACTTGTATTTCAGAATAAAGCCTGTTTAAGAATTTATAAACACCCTGTATTTGAATTGTTGTTACATGTATGTTTTGTAAAATTAACCTGAAGATTCCAGAGTTTTACTAGATTTTATTTGAGTCTGAAGTAATTTCAGATGTATTAAAAACTGTTCTTAAATTTAATTAAATGCAAGTATGAAAAGTGGCTTTAATTAAAAAAAATTAAATGTGTTCTTTTTTCCCCTTTCCTGCTCTTATAAGCATCTTTCTTTACCGTGAAAGATAACACCAGTGCTGCATTATCAAGGACACATATATGGCTAAGCATAGGGCTACTTAAATATTTTTTGTTTAGATTTTCATCATGATTAAAGGATGTTTAAATTTATTAAATATTTCTCTTGCAAATTTATTATTATTAAAAAATATCAATTTTTAAGCAATTCTTTTGAATTTTAATAATGCAAGACACTAAATAATTCTAATAATGTAATGCGTGTTGTGTTGATCACAAGTGGCATAAATTAGTAAAGGTTCTTTAATTTTGTGGTATTTGTTTAGATTCAAATTTTCTCTTGGGTTTTATTTAACATAAGTCATATCACACTTTTGTAATTAACAAGAAATCATATGTTGATTTATTGCAGTTTTTGCAATAAAATATTTGAGTACTTTAATTTGGTTTTTTATACATTTGATTTAATAAGCTAAAATATCTTATTTAACAACCTTTTTTTTTTTTTTGGGTAAACTTGCGCTCAAGTACCGAGCCATATAGAATTTTTGTGAGCAAAGTTTTAGGTACTCCTAGGTGAAATAACATGACATTATCCTTTAAGATTTCTGAGTATTACCTCTGTTGGAATGAAACATTGCTAGGATTAAAAGCGAATTTTACTCAGTGATGAAAATTTTCATAATTTTAGCTTAAACAAAAAAGTTATTACAGGTTAATTCTATTTGTAAGAGTCCTTTAGTTTTAAGAAATTCACTCCTGAGATGAAAGGCATGCACATTCTTTAAGGTTGTTAAACATTAATAGAATGAAGGTGCAGTATGTGAAATAGGCAGCCAATGCTTATATATCTTATGAAAAGCCCTAAAAATCATAAATATTTAGATACTGTGTATAAAATTGCTTGAAATTCTTAATGTGTTGTCCATAAAGAATTTTCTGCTTCTTGTAGTTGAAAAGAATTACTGTCTTTCTGTAGACAGTTTATGTATGTGCTAAATATTTGTGAATAAATTCCTGAATGTCTTATGTATTTTGAGGTGCAAAGGGAATGAATTGTTCATGTTTTGCTGATAATTTCCATCTTTGGCTTTTGCCTATTTAATGCTTCCTTGCAAACTTTTGAAAGAAAGTTTTGGCTGTGTTTTAAAGATAGTGCAAGTTAATTCTAGTTTTATATTCCATGCACAAGTTTTGAAAAATTAATCTTCAGCAACAATCGTACCTGCTATGTAAGCAGGATTTCCTGCACCTATTAATACATATGGCAGGATGGCTTTGAAATATTTTTTTTTTTGCCTACAATGAAATTGCATCGTCTTCTGCTTCTATAGGCTATTCTGCATCAGCTCCACAGAGCCAGTCAGCTTATTCAGGTTCTCCAGGCTATGGTTCATATGGTGGCTCTGCACCTACAGGCTATGGTAGCCAGCCTCCCAGCAGTGGTGTAGGTTCGTCTGCTGCTCCACCAACTCCTGCATATGGTGCTGGTGCTCCTCCATCAACTGGTGCTTCAACTGTACCGCCTGTTGGCCCACCATCTCAAGGACCCCCTGGTCATGGCATGCCACCACCACCTGGAGGTTATGGTGGCCCTCCTGCTGGAGATTATAATCGTCCACCTGGTGGATATGGTGGACCAATGCCACCTAGTGGTCCTGGACCTATGGCTGGAGGTCCAGGTACTGATGGATATGGAGGCCCTCCCATGGGCTATGGTGGACCTGGTGGTGGAAGAGGTGGATTTCAAGGTAAAGATTGTGATGAAAAGATATAACATTTTTTGTAACAGTCATGATGAAAGAGAATTCATTTGTATTCATGAATGGATTTCTTGAAAAAGTATTCTTGGTATAATTTTTTTCTGACAACATAATGTTTTGGATATTGTAGAACTTGTTTATATAATTGGAATAATTGATTTGGTGGTGGCTGTTAAAAAGATGCATTTTTGGAAATGCTTGGATTTCTTTCCTTTTTTTTTTCTTGTTTTCAAAAAGTATACTGTGCATGAGTATTTTTATTAGCAGATTTAAATGGTGAATCTGCTGTAATTTTTGCCTTTATAACTTGCCTTATGTCTTCTTCCTTTTCTCCATCTCTTAAGCATGGTTTAAACTGCATGGAAACAATTTCATTAGGTACTCCTAACAGTAAAGCATCTTCCATGAGCTGTTTTAAATATATATTTAGGCTAATATTTCCAAATTATATTTTCTGTACTGTATATACTTGCAAAGAGTAACTGATAAATTTCTTGCTTTAATGTGTATGTCTTCTATAGCTAGTGATTTATCACTTTCTTATTATTGTTTGTTAAATTTATAATAGTGATAATTCTAATGTTTACATTAATGTTGATTACTTTGTAATTGCATGACATGTCTATTTTTGTTAAGGAGGTCCAGGAGGATATGATAGAGGCAGCCGAGGAGGAGGTGGTGGCTATGGGTGAGTGTGAAATACTTTTCTATAAATAATTCCTAATTTAGTTGTCAAAATTTAGATGGATTTGATATCTGTGAAACTAATCTTTTTGCATTTGCAAATCTTGTTTGGGGAATTTTAGTTGTCAAAAAATTCATGTGGTATTAAGCTTTTTGTTGTCAAATACTAGTAGAGCCTATTTATAATTTTTTTAGAAGTAAATGCTGTGCTGAATTGCTGTGTGTTAAGAGCTAGTATTTTACATGTCCAGTTTGAGTAAAACATAAGCTGTATTCATGATAATGCAATTATGATTCATTTTGGGCGAGGTTTCTTCTGTGTGTATGTCAAGTGTGGTTTTTGCTAGACTATAAATTTTTATAAGATTGTGGTCTTCACTAGGGTTTGACTATAAATTGCCCAAGAAATGTTATGTAGGTGAAATGCATTTGAAAAGTTCTTTTGAAAAAAACTTCATAAAAGTTATACCTCTTGGTTTCCATGCATTGCATATCATGATTTTATATACTGTCAGTTTCACTTTTCCTTTAAAGATAAAAGCATAGAACTGGCACTCGTGCATTTGGTTATTCCATTGTATAAATTCTTAGGATCTGGTTTTCTCTTGTAATTTGTGAAGTGTCGGTCTGTTAAGCTGCTTCCAAGCTATAGATAGATTCTTGAAATTGCCCATCTATTTGCTATAGTGTATACTTCTCCCCCTCCTAAGGCTTAGTCACGCTTAAAATCCTAAAGCTGCTGTGGTTTCTTCATAGGAATCCCAAATCATTGGATTATATAGCATATACTGTTGAACTTATTTGAACTGCAGAAATAAGACCCTTTTTCCCAAAAGATGAATAACAACAGTTAAGAAAAGGTTATCTCTTGAAATTGAAGATTCCAATTTTTATATATTAAGTCCTGTTAAATGATTATATACATTAACTTAACACATTATAAGTTGCCAAAGGCTAACTAAAATTTGCTAATTTTATTCTCATTAAAAGGTTTGCTCTGGGTGGGTAATATAAAATTGTTGTTTTCCAAATTCTCTGTATTTTTAAGTTAACTTGTTATGAAGATATTCCATACTCATCGAGTTTTAAATTTAAGAAATGTGTGAAGTTTGGATTTATTATTGCCAAAATTCATTATAAAGCTTCAGATAAGCTAGCAGCTAGTACACTCTCTTGCCCTGTTAAATGTATTAATGTTCGAAGCTGAAAATTTTACATTGGTGCTCCAGTTTCTAGAACCTTCTTATTGCCCTGCAAATGCATTTTTAGAATACATTATTATGTGTTTAATTGTAGGAATGTAGAATGTTCCAAAAAGAAGAGCAGAATTTACTTGCTTGTGTTATTTTCTGCAGCATAAGAATGTCATCTACATCACTTGATTGGCAAATTATTGTATTCTCGTATGTGTTTTTATGCATTATTATGTTCTCGCATTTGCTTAATTAAACGCATAGCTGACTAGTTGTGTGCAACTACTCCAAGCAAGTACATAAGTATACTGATGGAGTTCTACTGAAATAATGTCAGCTATCATGATAGCTCTTCGAAATGCAGTGTTGTTAAAACTATGATTAAACTAATATAGCATTTTTGATGGCATATAAACTAATTAATAAAATCAGGTGTACATGACAACTGCTATGAACAAAGTAATGGTGCTTCTTTTTTAGAAAGGGAAAAATGATTGTTGTTACAGTTATAAGAAAATGATTAAAGAATTTTTGTATTGAAAAAAGAAAAAAAATCTTTCCTGTGGTATTTATCTTCTGAAAATTTTCTCATTGAGGCAATTCAGATTTAATTTCAGTGAGTGGGCATTTATTTGCTGGAGATGTACAGGCATTCTGACATAGCAAGTTTTTATCTTTTTTTGTGTGTTTGTGCGTTAGTGAAATCTGCTCTTTAAAAAAAAAAAAAAAAAGTGCATGCACATGTAGGTATTGATTTAAAAGATTGTGTATGTTCATGTTTTTATATACAAAGATTTAACTAATGACTAAAATTATGTGTAGAAAAAAGAACAAAATGCATTTTATTTTGTTGAGCAAATTATTGCTTGCTTTAGTAGCTATGATTGCGAGCCATTCTTAAAAAAATATGCTGTAATTTTTTGGGGGGGAGTAAATATTTACTAAATTGGTATTCACTTTATTTTGTTCGAGCTATTTATATCATATATTAGTAGGAAGATTTCTGTATTTTCCCATTAGTTTCCCATCAAATGCTGCTACTAGTCAAAAGAAAACTACTGAAATACACAAGCATTTGGTGCACACATCAACTTAAAGTTGCTTTTAAACCTACTTTAAAGTTATGTATTAATTAAAAAATTACATCCAGCTATTTAATTTTGCATTTTGAATAATGAATTATACATACTTAACACACACACACACATATATATTTAATGCAGCATGTATAGGTTTGAATTACTGGCTTTTAAAGTAGCAACACATTAAAATGTACATTTTCTGCCTAGAAAGTTTTTGCATAAAAGTATGTAAAAGACTTGATTTAACTTTATTCAGGTACTTAAAATAGAATCGTGTTAAAAATGGTTCCCTCTGTTATTACTGCCTTTTTTTCATTGTAGGAAGTATTGCGGCAAACTCTTTGTCTGAACCTTCAGCTACTCCATTATTTTGCTCTTGATATTTCTTTAAAAATAAAAGAATTAAAATTAAATAAAATTAAAGTCTTTAAAGACTCATTTTTAAAATTTTTGGTATATTTTTTTCAGTGTTTTCTAATAGGAAAATAAGAAATTTTCTTATGCTAACATACAGTATTTTGTTCAATTTGTGGTTCTAACTGGTGTTATTTTTTTACTTGAAAAGAAAAATAATTTGAATCTTTATTCTTTTATTAGTTACCATGTCAGTTTTATTGTACTGGTGAAGGTATTATGATAACTTTCATTTTAAAGTAAAATTTAGTGTGTTTAATGTATAGGGGTTGTTATGCATTGTTTCTTTTGTTGTAAAATTATTAAGCTTCTATTCTTCTAGTGCAATAATAATTCAATTTTTGTATTAGATGGATTAGAAGTTGATTTACTTGATATAAAATATAGTGAAGTTTTTAAAGAAAAAATCCTCATAACTGTGTGTGACCATAACTGGGTTTTGAGTCATTTCAGTTTTGCCACATCTGGGAATGTAACATCACCCATGTTTCTCTTGATGTCAAACTTTGCAGTTTTGTTATACACATGTGAACATTACAGATGCATTTACTTTCATTATTTCTGAAGTGTGAAAATGGTACGAATTTCATTATTTGGACTGATGAGATGGTATTCTCTAAACTTTAGTGGTTAAAAGAATGTAAGAAATCTAAATGTGTAATTTATGATGTCCAGGAGCTATTTTTTATTGATATTAAGATTTAATACATTTTGTACCTCACTCTTGGTTTTGCAAAGTTTGTGTATAATATTTATTCACTACAGCCATGTTAAAATATCTGATACTTAACAAAAAAGTAAAAGGTTTATTATTTATTCCTGTATATTTATCTGGTGATAGGAACAATCTTTCTGTTTCAAGTCTTTAATAGGTTATTAAAATACATAATTTTATAATATGCATGAAAATTCTTTGTACAGAATATCCTAATATGACCTTCACTCTTTCGTTACAGCTATTGATTAGTTAACTTTAATAATTGTTAATGATTGCCATAATTAAAATTTAATAATTTCTTATATATTTATAATGTATTAATTTATAAATTCTTTGATAAACTTTTACTTCTTTCTTTTCATAAACTTACTCTCCCTGAACTTTGAACAGTGTGCTTATTTAAAATATTAGTTTGTGCCTGTTAAAAATGGGGCATCAGTAAGAAAACCAATGAAATTCAGTTGTGTATTGTAAATTGTATTCATTTTGCAAAATCAACAAAATTCTCTCTTAAATATCATGAATCATTGAAAGGAAAAAAAGGGGGTGGAGTCGAGTTAGGGACTTCATTCCCAAGGTAAAATAATAATAATAATAATCTTAGATCTGAACTGTAAAAAACCAAATTTTCCTGCAAGAAGATGTGTATGGGTTTGTATTGGTAAGTTTTCCAGCACAATACAATTCATTACATTAAACATTAATCTGATTTCTAATGCTTAAAGGTTCGTAACTTTTTCACTTAATGAATTTTAGAACTTATATTTAAAAATTTCAACTCATTTGTAATATGAAGTTTTCTTTGTTTAATTTTTTGTCTTAATGAACCTGAAGATCATTCTCTTTAAAACATAATATGTAGACATTTTTGCATGTGTCATTAACTCATTTGTATTCAAAAATTCATTATCAGTTTTCTGTATTTCACTGCCAAGCAGCTTGTTTTACTAGTTATTCATTCAGTGAGGTGTTTTTAAACACCCTCCATAAAGTGTTGAAGTTAAATGAGTGAAGTCATCTTGAAGTTGTCAAGTTATGAAGTTATGCTTACACTGATTCTGCTTCGTTTTTAGTAACCAAGGTCCTGGCCGGGGAGGTTTCAATAAAGGTAACGGTGCCACAGTGTGGTCCGATAAAAGTTCATTTACTCTTGTTCGTCATTTTTATTTTTAAGAATACGTAATTGGTTAGATTTTAATGTCTAATGTTGATCATCTGTTTCATCTCTGCCATTACAATTTTCATATCAGATTTTGAGTAGAAATTATTTATTTCAATGTTCTCAGTAAACAAAAGGTGTTGCATGCTAGTTTTATCATAATCGAAACATTTTCTGTATCATTAGTTTAATATTTTTAAATTTAATCATTTAGTAACACATATTGCATAGCTGCCAACTCCTCAGGTTTTCATCATGTCTCTTGGAAAATCATGAAACTCCTGGTTCTTGTTTTTCAGCAATAAATGAAATTTATTGAATTAAAAAAATTAAATTATACAAATTATTATTTATCTGCCGCTAATGATTTTCGGTGTAACTTTTATTAAATTGTATTTGATATGAAACTGTCTTAGTTTCCAGTAGACATTTGTAGAAATTTCTGAGAAGAATCAACCAGTGTAATAAGATATTTGTTTACATCAGAGTATGTACATTGCTAAGTGTAGTTTTCATTGTGTGCTTTGATAAATTACAGCTTCCCTTCCTTACTCGGAATTTTCTCAGTCTGCAAGTATAAGAAAATTGCATAATGAAACAAGCAAGGAACATAATATTCAGAATTTCTAATTAAATATGAATATATTTTATGTAGAAATCATAAATAATTGAGTAACTTGAGTCATGCATAAAGCAAATTTAAATCGATTTGGTGGTCACTCCTTCCCCAAATGTTTGGGAAAACCTGCAAATTTTCAGTTTTCCATTTTCGAGGTTGGCAGCTATCTCATAAGCATATTCATATGGAAGCTAAATTTGTAATTGATTTAAATAAGATATGTATAATTAAATTTTTCAAACTTTTTTTTCTTTTAAAGTTGAAAAACAGTTTTAGTAAGATTTATTTTTGATTTTATTTGTAATGTGATTCAAATATGTGGAATTTTTTATTTTTTTTCAGTTTTAATATATTGTTAATAGTAATTAAATTTTATGAATTAAAAATATTTTTACAAAGTCAACTATTCAGAATGTTGTCATAACACAATCTGGTTTTGAATGTTTTTGTTTTTTTAATTGCGTATGTGACACCTAGGTTCTCATTTATCAAATTCTTTAAAATGTATAGCTGTATTTTGGCTGTGGTCTTCCTTTCATAAAAAAGCTTTTCCCAAAGTCATAAACTATATATATTCTTATGAAATTTTGAAGCTTTTGGGAAAATTTACATATACGGTTGCACACCAGTTGCATTTAAATAAGGGGGATTGTAAGTCTTTGAAATAGTGCCCATAAAATTTGAAAGATGTCATTCATAAATGTTGAAATATATCTGAATATATGAACTTAAGTCTCTGCACAATTACCGAGAGCACTTGTGTTACTGCAAATTTGATTTTCATGACTGATGTATTAGATGAAAAAAGCATACAAATTATAGTTCTACCTTATGGAAATAACATATTAAATATCGCTTATAGTAAATGGATGGAATATATTTCTGTGTTATTGTGCTTTATAAAAAATTTTGGTCAAAATTGTCTATGGTGTATCGGGAAAATCGCATTATGTATCCACATGTCTAGTGGCATCTATAATTTTTCATGGATTTATCAAAAAAAAAAAACAAAAACAAAAAAACCAGATAAGTAAAAAACTGATATGTATGATGGCTGTTAAATATGTAACAAAATCTTGTTGTTAGAGATGCCAACATTCCTGGTAAAATCGGTAGACTCCAGATTTGTTCTTGCATATCCAAGCGTTCTGGTGAATCTCCAAGACTCAATTCTTAATATATCTGATTCTCTCTTTCAAATGCCAGCCGTGTAAAGTTAACTGTCAAAGAAAAAGCATATGCTGTAAAGGAAATTTTGATGATTAAAAGCTATGTTATATCAGCTCTCATTTTAAGATCTTTTCCCCATATGTTTTTCAGAGTAATTTTTCTACTTTTATTCGGTTTGAAGTGTTTCAGTAGATAATTATATTTGTAGAGCATTTTATGAAGACTAACATTAATGTGGGCAGTTGTATTTAAATTTGTAAAGAGTATGGTACTTTTAGTTCATCTTAAAATTACAATTCTTTAAATAAATTTATTATGTTTAAGAAGCAGTTATCTAAATAAAATGTTTCCTCCCTACTGGTTTAGTAGTATTAGAATAATAAATACAAAATTGAATGAAATTAGCCCCAGCCATATCTTAATATTTAATTTGTTATTCTAAATTTTAATTTTTGTGTTAAAATTGTTTTAAGTAGTTTAGTAGCTTATGTGTTTGGCTTAAAATCAGATTTCTAATTTGGAGTGAGCTTAAAATTTAGTTGCTGCAAAAACTTGAGTTTTCTAATATTTAAAAGTTGCCATCTATGACATAAGTTCAAGGTATTGTCTTGGTATTGAAGCCACTGAACTAATAAAAGTTCCTTTTGCACATGGAGGGGGGAAAAGAAAGCTGCCATATCTGCCCTTACAAATCAAATTCGTAATATGTTCTGTTTGTTCTAAGTCAATTAGAAAAATGGGAAAATAATACAAATATTTCCCATAGACTGTTACTATTCACTTAACCTTTGATCATACGTCTGCATATAAAATATGCAATAATAGGATAACTTGAGTTTTGTTTGAATGGTATGGAAGAAAGTGTTCTAATAGAGTTGGAGAGTAGAACATACTGTAAATATTTTTGTGACATTTAACTTCTTTGGAATATCGTAGCTTATTTATTAAGCATTACTTTCGTGTTCAAAATTTTGCATGTATTTTAATCACCACCATCTAGTGTTTTATAATGTCAGAGAAATGTGTAATCAAATATAAAATGGTATTTTAATTACTTTTGCAGTCATGGAATCAGTAATTTTATTCAGTTATTTGACCCATTCTTTCAAAAGTATTTATGGCTATGAGTATCGGATCTGTTGTAATGCAGTAAACTTCATATATTATATAGGAGAGGATGACATAATATGTAAAATTGGAAATAAAAATAAGTGGATATGTTATGGTGAAAATTTAACTGTTTTTAGAAGGGGTTTGAAGTGATAACAGGTTGATGTATAATTTGTTGATCTTTAACAACTGGAAGGTTGTTTTATTATAGCACACATGAAATAATTTCATATCTGTGCTGCATTTTTTATATTGAGTTCTAAAAGTTTTTGCTAGATGCTGTGTGTTTTCAATTTTGCTACAAAAATTTTTCAAAAAACGGGTGAATTGTTTTACATAATACATTATTGCAGAGGAAATGTTTTTAATTTTGTCATATTCCTCTGGTATTGTAAGTTTAATTTTCAATTTTTGTCAAGTTATTTTTAAGTATTGTCAGGGGTCATTGGATATCCATAAAAACTGCTGTATGAGATTTTTACTTCCGTTGGCAAGATATTGGGATTTAATAAATGAGACATGTAGTAATGTTTTCTCTTAGTCACTGAATAGCCACTGCAATTTTTATATGAAAATCTACCAGGTGGTTTAAAGATTAAAAAAAAAAAAAAAAAGGAAGTTTGAAAAAAAAAAAAAAAAACAGTGCACAGTACAAAGTCCGTTATCTGGAATGATCTATAATCCGGACCTCAAAGCCGAAAACTTTTTTTTGTATGCTTTACGTTTGCGCGTTAGGAGGATGTGTCTCCAGATATGTTATAAAATGCTTGGCATAATTTATGGCCAGCTACCATATTTCATGGTGAAGACGATGAAGATGATAGCCGCGAAATTGAACGTTTTGGACATCACAAACTAAAGGTGAAATTTTCCAATTATTGGATTTTGTAAAGAAATGTGGAAAAGTGGTAATAAATGAAGATGATGTAACAGTTTTTCATTGCAACGACAATGCCCCAATTAACGAACCCAGAAAATACTGTTTTCGATAGTGAAGAAAGTGACAGAGAGGTTATTGAAAATGAAAAAATTTCGATTGACAAGTCGGTATTCTCTACACAGCAATTACAGGACTTGAACAGTGGAACTTTGTAACTTAACAAGAAATTATGTCTGCTTATAGAATTAAAGAGAAAGTATTAGAACAAAAAACGAAGCAACTTAAACAACTTGCATTGAAAGAAATGTTTAATAAAGTAAACAAATAAATATTAAGCTTTTTTTGGTAAATTGTGATACTCTTTAGATCATAATTGCTCTTTATTTCATAAATTATGGTTTCATATTTTTAATTGTATAATTTCTGCATGCCATCTTACCAGATTTAAATTGATGATCTATAATCTGAAATCGCCAAAGTCCTGACGAGTCCGGATTACGGACTTTGTTCTGTATTACATAAAATGTGAAAGTAGAATCAACTACAAATTAGATTTCAGCATGGTTTGAATTCAAAAAAAGAGTTCCTACTTTTTGGTGTGATTTATTTGTAATAAAATAACATTCTTCATCAATTTGTGTGGTTGAAGATTTCTGCATGAGTGTTGTTTGAATCCTGTTAGGTTTACGTATGACATTATTTTCTTTTTATAAAATAATATTTTGGTATTGAAATTTGTATAAAAACCTTAATTCTTTAAGAGTTAAAAAAGTCTCATTAATTTAAAGTTTTGAATAATAAGAATAGTACATTTTTACAATCTTAAATTACTTTATGCCATTATGTTAGTAATAAAATTGCTCATGGTTAAACTATCAATTGTTAAAAAATGCACTATTTTAATGCCCCACCTCCCGCAAGTGCTTGTTTTTAAGACCATGCTGGAGCAACTTTATTACTAAAATTAAAAAAACTAAACACTCAGTGAATTGTATTTTAGTAACTTGTAACATAACTGTGTAATCTTTTTAGGAGGTAGAGGAGGATTCCAGTACAATGGTGGAGGTGGAAACTATGGAGGTACTTATTTTTTCCACAAGCATTTTGTCTTATTCATAATATTTGAATGGTTAAGACATTTGTATTACTGGTATACTTATAAACATTGTGTGTATAAATAGCCACTGCTCTGCTCTTGCTTGGAGGGAATTTAAGCTGAATTGCAGACAAGGCAATTTCATTATATAGTGTGGAGTTTCGTGGTGTTTAGGTTTAGTTTATCTGCGTCTAACAAATTTCTTCAAAGCTTTAAAAAGATTTAAATTTCTTTTACATGTATGATTGAGTGCTTTTAAGCTTGAGAAAATGTTTTCAAACTTGCCTTTTAATGCTAATTGTTTATGGAGAACATTAATTTATATTTAATGACATTGTCCTTGATATTAAAAATTTCAGCAAAAGCTGTAATTCTCAGTTAGCAAGCCCCCAACTTTTTTTTTTGTATAGTTACTTTTTAACAATATAAATATTCCAAGTAATTACTGTTCTTTATGTGGCTAATAAAAGTAAAATTTATTTGAAAATTAAAATGTTTTGTAAAGATAACACGAAAAAGCTCGAGAAACAGTAATTTTTTAATTAGTGAATAAATCATTCTTCTGCCTTTTCTCAGTAATGAAAGTAAATTGAATCGGAAGTTTCAACATTTTTTTAGTTATGTATTTAATTTCGTGAAAAGGGAGTATAGTTTCATTTAAAGTTAAATTTTTTTATGTGTTTGTTCATACCATTTTTTTGTTACCATTAAAAATAGCCTAATATATAATTTCACAAATTAAATTCCAAGCTCGTAGATTTAAGTTCACTAATGTTCATAAAATTATAATGTTTAAAATAATAAATGTTTTAAAAAAAGAGGAGTGTCTGGTAAAGTAAAATTATTCTGCAGTTGGATGATTTTGGGGAAAAGTTTGCATATTTAACTAATTATTAAACTGGAATTTGTAAATTAAGCTGTGAAAAAGCTGTAATTCTCAGTTAGTAATCATATATAACCAGTTGTGTGAACAGTTATTTACTCGGCTCCTTGTACAAAGAAATGATATCACGTTTCTTCAAGTATACCAGGCTCTTATAATATTTAACTCGTGAAATCGTTGCATATGAATTCATAATTTTTCAGGTGAAGAGATTCAGGATACAGTTTTTGTGTCTGGCCTACCCGAAGGTGTCAATGAGGATGACCTCTCCAATTATTTTGGAGCTATTGGTGTAATCAAAGTAAGTATAAATTAGCTAATTATAGTTGATCAGACCAATCTTTATTCTGCTTCAATTTATGTTATAAATAATGTTGGCCAATTAAAATTTCTAATATGGTAATTTTCTAAAACAGATGGATAAGAGAACTGGCAAGCAAAGAATATGGATCTATAAAGATAAGCTAACGGGGAAAGGTAAAGGAGAAGCTACAATTACATATGATGATCCCCCAACTGCAAGTTCTGCTATTAATTGGTTTGGAGGTAATTTTTGATGTTTTAACATAATAGTTCAGGTGCAGCTCTTTTTCAGTTTTTCTTAATGTATCTTATATCATATATAATTTTGAAATGTATAAGGAGCTGAGTAGATAATGTGTAAGGAATTAATTAATAGTGAACAGGTGACAAACCTGCATTGAGATTAGCATAAAGAAAACTGAGTACTAATATTAAAGAAGCATGACTTTAATGTAAAGCTTTGTTTCCTGACTGTTATGTGTGCAGTTTTCATTTTTGGTATATATAAAATAATATATTCTTAGGAAAGGATTTCCAAGGCAAAAAAATCAATGTGCAGTTGGCACAACGTAAATCACAACCTTTTGGTGGTGGACCTGGGGGTCCAGGTGGACGAGGCAGAGGTGGTGGTCGAGGCGGTGGACCTCGAGGTCGAGATGATGGTGGTCGTGGTGGTGGAGGAGATAGAAGCTCTGGAGGATCAGGTCGTGATGGAGACTGGAAATGTCTTAATCCGTAAGTGCTTTTTATGTTTTAATTCATTAGTGGTAATGTGAGTGTTCAAAATTTTAATTCTCTTATTAAATGTAATCACATTTTTGATATTAATTTCTCTTATTGAAAATAATTTTAATTTCATTCAACAATCAACCTTTACTTAAAAATTCTTATAGTAATCTCAACTATAAGAATATAGTAACAAATTTACTGTCATTTTGCCATATTTACATCATAAAGCCTTGTGTATAAGTATGGATATTCATTGAATTCTATAAAATTGCACTAGTACTTACATTGTAGAATAATAGTCTTGATAGCAGTATCTTAGCAAAATACTTAAAATGGTATGTTATTAAAATAGCAAGATGACCAATTTTATGTTGCTGACATGGATATTTTCAGAATATCCATAATAATTTGACTGTATGGGAATGTTCATTATGGGCAAAATAAGTTCTTTTTTCAAGTTAAGCCTCCTTGAATTAGTGCATGCATAATTACTATATTTAAAAGTTAGTTTTGAGAAAATTTTATGCAGAATGTTAAATTCAGTTTTGTCCTTGTAATAAATAATGCAAATATCAATGTGGCTGTCGCTTAACAGAGTCAGATTATAAATTTATATTACATTAAATTGTGCATGCACAAATTAAATTACATCTGGAATTTGATTTAATATTTTTATTTTATATAATTACATTGCTATTTTGGTTTGCAGGGAATAATTTTTGTATTTTTTATATTATTTAAACTTTTACTCTGATTACTTTTTGAAATTTTTATTGCTAATTGATTACATATATGAATGCACTAACTGTTCTTATTGAAAATGTTATGCTTTCTCAGAGACTGTGGAAACAATAATTTCTCATGGAGAGTGGAATGTAACAGGTGTCATGCGCCTAGACCTGAAGGCGTAGGAGGTGGTTTGCCTCCTGATAGTGGACGAGGCCCAGGTGGTGGAAGTAGCAGAGGAAGTGGAATGAGAGGTGGACGTGGCGGTGATCGTGGTGGACGTGGCAGAGGAGGTCCTCCAGGAATGGGAGGCCGTGGAGGTTTTGGTGGCGGACGTGGAGGTCCTGGTCGTGGTGGACCTATGAGAGGGGGACCAGGGTAAGTAATAAAATATCTATACATGGTCAATTAGAAATGAATAAAATCATAAATTTACATTTCAAGAAGACTGTAACCCAAAATTGTGAAACTAAATTTTCAAGTCTAGTCTAGTCTACTTCTTTAATTATTAAAAATCACTGTAAATAAAAGGTGTAATTAAATAAGACTACAACTATCAGCAAACTCCATAAATAAACTGATTTAAAAACAAAGTGAAGTTGGGGAGAAAAATTCACCTTTAAATTGGCAAGTTTATATATATTGAGCTCAGCAAATATTTCTAAGTGTATTATCAATCAAATTTGCTATGCTTCAAAAATTGAAATTATTTGTGATAAGGCACAAACACAAAAAGGTGTTGTAATGAAAGTGAAAATTCCAGTCTATCCTTATCCGCATAGTGCGTGTTGGCTGCGCTGAGATGTAAATTAATTTATGGTACCACTTGAAAACACAAAAATTTGCCAATTGTGTATGACTTATTATATGTATAATCTCGAAAGCATTACTATTATAGCTATAATTGTTTCCTCCACTGAAGATTGAGATTAGAATCTGCCCAATTTGGATTAAAAAGTGTTTTTTTTTTTGCAGACATTTTGCAGCTGAAAGAAATCTATTTAATGATATTTTAAAATAAATTCAGATATTTATTTAGCGGCATACATAAGCAAAAATATGTGCGTTCAATTTCGTGATAGCATGTCATAACATCTAGATTTAGTTTTAGAAATTTGCCTGAAATTTAAAAGTATTATTAACTAATAATAAATTTAGAGGAAAGAAGAACATTAAATGATGTAAATAACATTAAAATGAAGTTAGTTACTTAAAAATTGAATTACAATAATCAATGATATTTTGGTGAATATAGTCATATTAAACGTTAGCCTAGATGACTGATTACTATTTATTTTATTTTACTGCAAAATGAAAAAAAAAAGTTTAAAAGATTTTGTAAAATCCTAGTCTAGTCTTCGCTGTGACCTTGGTACAATTTTGAAAAATGCTGCCAACACCAAAATGACCGGTTTACTGACCAACACCTTCTTAAACAGAGACAGAGAGAGGTAACTGTTGTTACTACTCATCATAATGTCGTGTGTACTATATATGAAGGTTAGAATAAAAAATATGTATTGTTAAGATAAATCTTCTCTGCAACAGGAATGGCTCTGTTCTAACGTAGAGAGAAACAGCTATGCGGGAAATATCTGTCAACGAAGGTCAAGTTTATCAAGAGTACATAAAACTTTAAAGAAAAAGGAAATTTTTTATCGTGCAAGTAAATTAATTAATAGAGAGTAGTTATTTTGAGCAAAAAAAAGTATGAAAATCTGAGTATAAATTATTCTTCTAACACATGCTCCATAATTTTCTGTATACATCGCAGAGGGGAAAATTCTTGCCGTCAGGTTCTGTCACCAAATCTCTTGGTGAGGCATTTTCTTTAGTTCAACATGCACTGCACATTCGAGTCTTAGGATTCTCGAGGTTACTGGAAACCAAACTTGCTTTGTCTTTCTAAAAGACAATCCAATTGGCGCTGCGAAAATTGGCTCTACACCAGCTGCCCAAATGACGCTCAACCGATACATAATTCGCCAACAAAGTGGTCACTTCCAACATTGGCGCAAAACTCGCTTTTTTTGGGATTGCCGTATGACGTTCCCCGACTTTGGTTTTCCAGGTAGCGTGGCAACCCTGTTCAAAAGGTACCAATCCCCTTAAACTAACTTTTGCTTTATGGTTAAAGAAATGCTGTATACTTTTGTAAAAATTTGATAAGGTAAGCTAGGCTAAAATTTTATTTATTTATACTTCCTTGTACAAAGTAAAGGAAGTATTGTAATAACGGAAAATTCCGGTTACCATATTTCAACGAAAATATCCGTTTGACTACTATCGAAAGCAATTTAACAATGTTTTTGCATGACAGAATAAGACTCTTTTCCCTCCCAAATGAATTATAAAATTGATTTAAAATGGATTCAGAAGGGATTTTTCTCTTCCATCTGTACTTGTATATCTTGCATAATTCAAAAGCGAGCCTCAGCATGTTGAAATTTTGTATATAGGATTGCTATAGCATGTAGTTGTGAATCTCCCTTTTTGTGGCAATTGGCTGCACCCAAAATATGTATACTGACTATTCTGTGAGCTCTTTTTTTTTTATTCTTATGTATTGGGAAATTGTATATTTTACTTTAAAAATGTATGTTCTTATCTTCTGGTTAACGTTTTTATACCTTTAATTAACTGACATGTTACAGTTGTAGAATTATCAGCAATTTAAAAATTGTTTAAGTGGCTAAGCCTAATTTTTTTACCATAGCAGCCATATTTGTAGCTTTGTGATATCTATAATAAGTAACGCCTTTTATTTTTGTGAATTAAATCATGCTTAATCCATTCTGGAATTATCATTTAAGTTATTATATTGTTGCATTTTGGGACGGGTTTGTAGATTTGTAGTAATAGACGACAACACTCGATGAAGAATGAATGTACAATTTATTAGCCAGTATTACTCAGGACAGCTCCAAAAACACACTCCTGAACAATCAGGGACACAGCCTTTAGTCTGTAATGGTGGAGACTGCTTTGCGGCAAAGCATCGGGAGTACATACAGCTCCCAACTTCATTCAGTCGTTCTCAGAATTTTACTTGCTGTCTGTGCTATCTGCCTAAATGGCGAATAGTGGAGATCCACCATTATAACTTGAAGCTTATATATGACAGCACTCAGAACTGGAACTCGATTCTTCACAATTTTTTGTGCATTAATAAAATTTTAATATTAGAATTTTCAGTAATTTTTTAATATTTCGATTATTATATTCATGTGCTAGTCTTGTTGAACCAAAAGTCAGTTTCAGCCGCAGAGTTTTCAGTAAATGGATTTTATGAAAAACCTTTTAAATACTATCTCATTCTGTTGTAAAGTAGCATGTTTTATATTCTTGAAAAATTTGTCAGTAGTGAGTGAGAAATTTTATATTTTTATTGTAATGTTTGGCAATGCTAATAATTGTTTTATTATTATTTCAGGGGTGACAGAAGACAGAGACCATACTAATGATTTAGTGGAATAGTGGAAAGCATTTTATTAATTTTGAATTCATTAAATGGACTTACTAAGCACTATCATTGTCATGATGTCATCATTTAAGTTTTTCATTGTGTAAATTTTAATAAAATTTTCTTTTTCTGTACCTGATTGTTTTTATCTGTTTATTACTCAATAAATACACAGTCTTCTAAAACTGTTCAGAATAATTTAAAGGGTTATTTTTCTTGATATGATAGAAATTATGTACTTTCATACAACTGTTATCTTTGTCATAAGCTTGCATTCGGCTGAAATTTATTTGGGCTCCATCTGTTGAGGTTTTTTAATTATTAAAATGTTTAAGTTATAAAGTTGTTTTTGTCCTGATTAAATTACTGGTAGGAGTTTAAGAACTTCTGTATGAATTGCAGAGTGATAAGTATAATTTTGAATTTAAGAGCTAATAGTACATTAAATATCTTTTTCATGCAGCTGCTTAAATTTACTAATAATGTTGTAGCAGTCATTAATGTTTGATATTTAAATTCATTTAGTGATTTCAATAGTAATTATACATACTTGGTGTGGTATTAATGAAATGGCTAATGCATAATCTTGTGTTTAATTTTTAAACTCTTACCTATAAAAAATGTTTTCCAGTAATATATTAAATTCATTGAATTTCTAAAATTTAGCTGTACAAATTTGATTTTGTCGCATTAATGACATAATTTTTCTTATTGAAAACATCTGATCTGAATTGTCTTAATTTACATTGGTGTGCAAAAGTTAAAAGCAACTTGCCATAACTCCATGAGAGACAGCATTTTGTATTTAAATGATGATGAAAGCATAGTTGTGCAAAATTGAATGCAATACATACAGTATGGAATCAAACAAAGAAAGGCTTTATTGAACTCGTAGCATTATTACACATGATTGTCTGTATAAGAGGAAGAACAACAAGCAGATGTTCCTTAGTATGGGATGTGACCTCTCTTTACAGCAGTGTTTGCTTTGCACTCTCTCTCAGCACCAGATTGTCCCAACAGATCTCGAGGTAAGAGTTCCTATTCCTCAATCAGCATTTGTTTCAGTTGTTGGGTGTTTCCCGGAAAATGTAATCGTGCCACAATGCGTCTCCCCAAAACATTGCACACATGGTCTGTGGGATTTAGATCAGGGTAACATGCTGGCCAATCCATTCAAGTGATATCTTCACTTTCCAATAGCTTCTGAACTGCACCGGTGTGGCTATGCATTGTCATCCATAAGAGCGAAGGTCTGCTCAAATTTCACTTCGGAGCAGACACACATGAGGAAGAATCACCTGGCAATAGCAATCTCTGGTTATAGAACCTCTGTTAAAAGTCTGGATTTCTGTCTGCCTGTTCAGCATAATGCCTCCGCAGGTGAGAACTCCAGGATCACTGTAATGGCCTCTTTTTATGTTACTGAGATGAAACTGTCCCAACCTCTTCCCAAATCAATTGGCGTTGAGAATCTCTTTTGGCACTAAAACAACTCTCATCCGTAAAGAGGGTGCAACTCCATTTGATGAGATGTCCAGGTTTTATGCTCCTTGCACCATTCTAAACCGTGGTGCTGATGCCAACTTTCAAAGGGATGACCGTTCAGGACAGCGAGTGAATAGGCAGCCACCTTTGTGAAAGTGTCTGGACATAGTACACCATGGCACTTGTCGCCCTGTTGATGTAAACATTTGCTGACTGGTTTCGGGCTCTTTTCACCTGCAGGACACTATATCCGTTTTTCCTGGGGCAGCCACGACCAACCTTTCTAACAGCTGTACCTATGGTTTGGAAGGTGTCGCGTTTGCTTACTAGAACTTTACTTCCACGAACGCCCTCTGGCGAAAGAGACTAAAAGTAATCAGTTGAACGGCTGACGCATCTAACAGATGTATAAAGATAGACCGTCTCCGTATAAATTATGCTTGTAATCATTATAACTTGTAAATATTTTGTAGATATCTTTCATACGAATTAAAATTTCTTAAAAAGTTTATAGCTGTGTTTCGAAGTTCATCATAGAGACGGATACCGAGAAGAAGGAAAAGCAGGCAGTTCAGGGCAGCCCTATTTAGAAGGTAAGTGAACTTTCACTTATCTATTTAATGATCAAAAAATTTTAATAGTACAAAGTTGATAAAATTTTTAACATGGCGCCGAACAGGGACTGCCAGTAACTGCGGTTTTCCTAACTATTGAAACTGTCTAAATTGATATCAGTTATATAGATAATACATAAGCATAAATAATTAGTGGATTGCTGATGCTTGTTGAATTATTGAATATTAAAACAATGACGGAATTCATCGATACATTGAAAAGGAAACGCGGCCACATAAGGGCTGCCGTTACAAAATTAATTGGCCGAATCGAAAACTGAATTACCAAAAACAGAAGTGAATGCAGAGGAACTAGAAATTTCCTTAGAACTCTTAAATGAAAAATCGAACGAGTTAAAACAAATAGATGCCGATATAGAAAAATTAATAGACATAAAGGATCTAGACCAGGAATTAAACGGTGTTGACGAATATCGTGAAAGAATAACTACATTTAAATACAAAGCTAACAAAAAATTGAAAGAAATTAATATAGAACAACAAAAATTTAATGTGTTACGAAGCACTGAACAGTTAAGTGAAAGTATTATAGAAAACGTTAAAATCGAAAGTCATAATGTGAAGCTTCCTAAACTTACGATTCCGAAGTTTTATGGCGAGAGCTGCGAATGGCTGACATTTTGGAACACTTTTTCATCAGCCATACATCAAAATAAAACGCTTGACGCTATAAGCAAATTTAATTATTTGAAATCCTTTTTGGGAGGTACTGCTTATAACACCATTGACGGTTTCGATTTAACCGAAGAAAATTACGAAACTTCAGTTAAACTCCTCACAGAAAGATTTGGAAATAAAGATGTACTGATCAACGCCCATATAGATAAATTACTGAAAATAAGACCTCTAAAGATTGTAATGACATTCAAAATTTCCGTAAGTTATTCAATTATATACAGAAACATTCGATGTCTTGAATCATTAAATATGACCTCAGAAACATATGGAGCTATATTAACGCCTATTTTGCTTAAAACATTGCCCGCAGATTTGGTTTTGGAGTATAATAAAACAGTTCGAAAATCAACGCCCATATAGATAAATTACTGAAAATAAGACCTCTAAAAGATTGTAATGACATTCAAAATTTCCGTAAGTTATTCAATTATATACAGAAACATTCGATGTCTTGAATCATTAAATATGACCTCAGAAACATATGGAGCTATATTAACGCCTATTTTGCTTAAAACATTGCCCGCAGATTTGGTTTTGGAGTATAATAAAACAGTTCGAAAATCAAATTACGATTTGAGTCACCTAGTGGAATTTCTGAACAGTTAGTTGCGCGGGAACGTACATTCCAGACGGTCCAGCCAAAGGCGGAGCCGCAAAAAGCATAACAAACTGAGTGAAACCAGACCTATTGCGAAACACACAGCTTCGGAGTTGACGAACGCAAGTTTGCGGGGGGGACAAACACCATGTGTTTTCTGCGACTCTTCTGATCACGAGTCTATAACGTGTAAACAAGCATCTTTATGGTCTACTGAGAAAAAAAAGGGAGAAATGCAAAGCAAAATTAATATGTTATCGCTGTTTACACCCACGGCATCTTAGTTTTAATTGCACTTCTAGAATAAGGTGTGAATTATGTAAACAACGACATGCCACTATAATGTGTTTTAAAAACGAAAACGGAGAAATTAAGGAAGAACAAGTTGAAAATAAGGCCTTAACGAATAATTCATCCTATGAAAGTGTAATCTTGCAAACTTTAATTGTCAATGTTTACGGAGATGGTGAAAGCAATTTTGAAAGCAATTTATACGAATAATTCTGGATACCGGAAGTAGCAGATCATATATCAGCACATTTCTTGCGGAGAAATTAAAACTAAAATCTTTAGGTCAGGAAAGTGTGACTCATGGGCTTTTTGGAGAGGAATAGAAAAAAGGGAAAATCACAACAAGTATCTGATTAAGTTAAATAATCCAGAAACAGGATTCACATGCGAAATGGAAGTTTTGAGCCAAAAAACCATATGCTCACATATTCCAAAATTGGAGGATAGGGAATGCTTAAAGAAACTTAGAGGTTACAAAATTTTTCCCAGTGATGTAACTAATGAGAATTCTTGTTTATTTGAAAAACACCCTAACGAAATACACGTGCTTGTAGGAGCAGATTATGTCGGAAAACTCTTTACAGGGGAAGTAAAACACGTAACGGAGAGTTTAGTAGCGATGAATACACACCTTGGTTGGACTATATTAGGGAGAACGAAGGTAAAGGGAAAGAATTTATCACTACACATTAGTGACAGAAAAATTTGTGACTTGTGGTCTCTTGATTCTATCGGAATAACTGAACCAGCTCTTTCGCAAACAAAACAAGAAATAGAAAAGGCTACAGAAAATTATTTCATCCGTACTTTAGAAAGAGATGACGCTGAAGAAGATATCAGGTATCACTTCCATGGCTTCAAATTCATCCTGAGTTGCCAGATAATAGAATCCTTGCATAAAAGAGTCTGAAGTCTTGCGTGAAAACCCTTCAGACAAAGAATTCCTTAGAAGCCTACGAAATAGGATAGAAGAGAATAATGTTCGGAGGCAGAAAAGATCAAAGGGCACATATATACATATAAATATAAACTTAATATACTCCTTTCTTATTCTGATATATTACTTGACATAAAATTCTGTGCTAGTGAACGTAACCCTGGCATATGAATATCTATTTAATATCTTCCATTATTTTCCCTATATTTGTGATTGAAGAAAAATCGATTGCAAGTCCCGAAAATTATTTTGTTTTAAAATAAATATCTGTTAGTTTACCTATAAAAATGTAATGCAATCCTTCTCTCTTCATGAATGAATTCCTAATAAGGGAATATTTTACTTACCTGTTCACCAATCAAACATTTTGAGTTTTTTCAAGTTAATTAGATTATAGATAGTAGAGTTAAACTGGAGAAGGTTAATATCCGAAGTGTTATGTAATATTTTAATATCAGCAAAATATTAACAACTCTAAATTTATGCTCTCTCTTTCTAAAAGTTCGA